TCATTATGAATAAGTTTTAAAAAAGTCGTAACAGTGATTCGAAAGGACCAGCACCTCAATACGGAATGCGATATGATGATTTTTCTCTAGTCCTATATGAACGGTAGCAGTATATGAATAGTACGGCTGGTCTGTCCTTAGAAAGCGAAGGCGCCGAGTGCTGTTTGATAGATTAAGGCTTGACTTATACTCTGACATATGTTCAAACTATGAAAAAGGCGAAGTGGACGAAACGTTAGCTATCGAAAATCGGAATTTCGGGTCCGTAGTCTCGTCTTAGCTCATCAAGAACAGTTCCTACAACTAAAATAGCTTATATTCATACGCATTGTCCTAGCACACCTTCCATTCTACAATTTTTTTGTTTGTGGTTAAAGGTGTAGTATGAGGATTTTTCATTTTCGTTACGAACGAACGTCTTTGAATAGCGGTCCAGCCGTTCCTCTCTGGAATCCAGAGATAGCCGTGGCAGAGCGTTGCTACGTGAACTAGACGGAGTAGGGAGTACTGTGTCAGATAGAAATGGTCTAATTGCGCGATTGTTTTAATGGATCCAATCAATCTTAAGAGGTTTGCAGTGAATTATTCGTTAAGTTTTTATCTTACATTGGAGTTGTTGAGATGTGACATTTTATTGTTACAGCCGTGTTGGCTGTGTGACGTTTCTGAATGTTCATAGTTCACCTATGGATAGTTTTTCGTTTATTAAATCAGACTATTTCTTTATTCAAGAAAGTGACCAGAATTCTCCAAGGATATTTCGCCAAGCGTAGAACATTAGGTAATTTGAGTGCTAGTCATCATAGAGAAAGTTCGCCTCACTCAAAGCTGCTCAGCAAAATTGTCGACGGTCATAAATTCCTATCGGCTTCTCTTTTTCATGAACTACCAGGTGAAGCGTTAGAGCACACTTTGTCTTTCGTCATCTATGGTATTGTTAATTCGCTCTCGATTTGTCGCTTTTCTGACTTGTGTTGAAATCTTCCTGAAAGCTTTTTTCAACAGGTGACGTAGACAGTAGTGTAAACTTTGGACTTCTGGATTTTATCCATGAGTAAACATTGAAACAGATTCCCTTTTCCATTGATGTATTTCCTATGCCGTCCGGAAAAGTTGTGTCACTATAATGATGGGATAAATTTTCATGTTGGTGGGCCAAAGTTTTATGTTAAAGGGCAAGACGAGGCTTCTTCTATTTGTGTGGTAAATGATGGCAAAAAAAACTAATGAAGTTTCGCAGTGTAAATAACTAACTATAACTATCTATCATAAGTTGGAATTTATGTATAAACTTTGATCATAAACCGATATGGGCTCCTCAGATCAATCCCGTTGACGGGTGATTGCTGCAGACACTGATCGATAGAAATAGCTGAGAGACGCGAAGCGAAAGGTCCGCATGGTGCGGTAGTGAACGCGTTACTACCCGGAAAGAACAATAGCGCGTTCGTTCTCCACCTTAGACACCTGTGGTCCAGAATTTTGCAAATATCTCAGCAACATTGCGGTTGCGTTTCGCATAAACTGGTGGTTTTTTTCTACACGACCTGTAGTTCACGTTCACTGTGTGAATCCCAGCACGTCACGCATTCAATTCGTTTCCTCGCATCCATTACCCACGGAAGTCTTCCAACTTTTTATTATAGATGTGGCTTCGGCTGCCGCTCGAAGATTTTCATTTCATCTTGAGTGTTGTAGTAGAATGCTTCTCAAGTCGGTTCTCCCTGGAGTATTGAGGTAGCTTGGCTGAAGCGTTGCCACTTGGATAGCAGCTTTTCGCAGACAAATCTGCTACCAATTTTCCGACCCTGGAGTGATGACAGGCTTGGTGAGTCGGATATGAGATCTAACCAGTGCTGTGCTCGTGATGATTGCTACTATAACCACTGTGCTCTCAGCCTCAAGCTGATTATTTGGCGAGATTAATGACGAAATAACTTTGTCGCTGAGGTAAAGTTGACTTCTGACTCGACTTCACCTCTAATCTCAGCTAGCTGTTAAAATGAACACTTTAGTGTAATTTAACATTTCCTTCAGTTGTCAAGTGTCAGGGTCGCCCATCTTATGTGCCGCAATTATTATGAATACATAAACGTACGATCGTCGTTGTTTGGATGGCTCTTATACAGTATGACAGATCGTCATCGTAGACAAGTTGTTGTTCCATTTTCGCGCTTGGTCTTCTACAAACCTTACTCGGTAGAATGTTCAAAAGCGTAGATGAGGTGCAGACTGTGTATGCTGTGAACATTAGGGTTCTACTTGTTTGCTATTTGGTTCTAAAAGAAATGTTTTGGATTTCACTTCCTGTTTAGGCGACCGCTGTTTCGAAAGCTCATATTTCTACTGTTGCTCATTGCGTTTATTACACTCAAAAGTGTTCTTTAAGGTATTTCTTACAGATTGCTTGAATCTGTTGGTTTTGATCTGGTTTTTTGGATTTTGTCCAATTTGCTGAGTTCGGTATATCGAGTTACTCAAGTGAGTTTAGGCCGAATGCAGTGTTTATCTTAGTGAGAGCAGGAGTAGTAGTACCATTTTTGCGCTCAGAATGATGAAAGTTGTACAAAAGCTGCGATAATTCGTTCTTAGAAGACTACTATTAAAGATTGAAAAAAATCGGACAGATCGATAACGTCGTGAACGCATTGACAAAATGTAAACAGGGACAAAAAGCTTCCATTGGAGCGAATGTACCGAGTTTTCGTTCATATCACTCCAACAGGTTGTCTAGATTTTATAACTATGAATAGGGCACTAAGCGAAATAGGCAGGTGTCTCTGGTGGGGAACGAACGCGCTATTGTGCTTTCCGGGGAGTAACGCGTTCAGCACCACACCATGCCAGTCCTTCGTTTCGCCTGTCTCTCGGTTAGTTCTATCGATCAGCGCCATCAGCAATCATCCGTCAACGGGAAACTCTCCGGCAAGGACAATAGCCCGTTCGTTCCCCACCGTATACACCTGCGGTCCAGAGTTTTGCAAATATCTTAGCAACGTTGTGGTTGTATTTCACTTAGTACCCTGCCGTGAAAAATAAGCAGAAAATAAAGGGTAAAACTCTGAATAGGTTTCCGTCTGTCGTAATTATGTGTTGTAAAGAATCACACGTTGGCAAGATCTCCTTTTCTTGTTGGATTTCCATTGAGTTTTTTGTTATAAAGGAGATCTTTAATTTAAGATTTACGTTGTATAGAGGAGAAAATGAAAAAATGAATGCGTGTAACGGTGCGATTAGGGATACTCTGCAATACACACGTGGTCGTTGGTTCGACTCCGCGTACTGCACATGCTAAGCTCTCCGTATTTTCGAGATCGGCAAGTTGGCACCAGACTTGACAGGGAGGATAAAAACACAGATTTGAAAGATTGGAATAGCACTGCACACCGCTTTATAGGTCAAATATGCATTTAACTGCCTTTATGATGCTTAGTGAAGTTTATCCCTTATCTTTTACGGCTGTGACGAATTGTACTTCAATGATCACTTCTATAAGTGGAATAAACATCTCCGCCTAAATTTTAAACTACACTTCTCTGTTTAACCATGCAGTCATGTGCGCGTCATCCAAGTGACGCAGTTGCACTCAACTCGGCTAGTATTGAAAAGTTGCAACTAATTCATGTTTTTCCTTCGTATTCTTCTTGAATAAACGCGAGGTGCTATTTTATTCTTTATTCACGGACAAGCTGACGTTTCGGCGGATTTCGTCCTCCTCAGAGCTTGGAAAGGTCAAGTTAACAGCAATCTATTCGGCCAAACACCCTCATAACCAAACAGAGAAAACGCTAAACCAAGATCTCAATCATGTTGAACACAGAATAGCTTCTTTGCACACTCACCGCTTTCTATGAGTCTTCCAGAGTTTCGCGTGGAGACCAACCGCGCAGAACTCACATGGAAGCGTAATGTGCCCATTCCGTCAGAATAACAGGCTTATATACTACCCAATATCACGCTTGATAATGAGGCATTCTTCCCTGCGGTTCATTTTCGGATTTCTGGAATTAATCCAGAAAGCCTCGAGAGTTTTGCGCGCTTGTGTTCTTGATTCCTGTGCGAGGATCGTGACCCGTACTTCAAAGTCCCCCCGTTATGTCTCTGGGTCCTATGCGTGCCTAGTGGGGTATTTGGCTTACGTTTACCCACTAGGTGTTCTTTTATGCGGACACAGGACTTATATAAGCCTGTTATTCTGATGGGAGAGGCACATTACGCTTCCATGTGAATTCTCAGCGGTTGGTTTCCACGCGACATACTCAGTGGAAGACTCATAGAAAGCGGTGAGTGTGCAAAGAAGCAATTCTGTGTTCAATGCGATTGAAATCTTCGTTTAGCGTTTTCCTTGTTTGGTTATGAGGGTGTTTGGCCGAATAGATTGCTGTTAACTTGACTATTCCAGGCTCTGAGAAAGGCAAGATCCGCCGAAACGTCAGCTTGTTCGTGAGTAAAGAATAAAATAGCACCTCGCGTTTGATCAACAAGAATACGAAGAATTACTTGATCAATGCCGAGGTTAATAGAAAGCCGGTCGTGGCGTTTATTAATTCATTTTTTCTCTTTTTGCATCAAGTATGGCGTTCTTTCTTTCATTCAAGCCAAAAGCGAGATGCCAACGCAGGCCGTACGTGTCTGTATGACGGTCAAGGAACAGTTGTCGCATGACTCGACGTCTTCCTATCTGTTGCCAGTTCGTTTAATGTTGTTTTCAACGTTTCATTGATTTTTCACCTAAAAGAACTTCAGTCGTGTTCTCTAAAATTTGAAGATAAATTATGATAAATGTACTTTATAAGTTTTGAAGTTAACTAACTGTTAACTCAGCAACACTTTAGGAGATCGGTTGTGTTCGGGTTCTCGTTAGAAAAATAGTGCGAAAAATGAAACATAATCCCACTTGCTTTTAACTTCTTTTTTAAATGCCACATAGGAACTATTTAAAAGTGAAGACCTCGTCTAGTGATTATCGATAGTTTAAGGATCAGCGTACATTCTCCAATTTACTTATTCGTCGCCTCTCGGACTTCATTAGTAGCCAGCAATTGTTGGATACTGTCAGAAAATCCAAGAAATCTCGTTACTGCTCGAGCTCGATGGTCAGTAAGGGCTGCCCAAAGATCGGTCGTTCGGTCGGTGTGTGCTGTGGAGAGACGGAATCGTGATGGGCGTGTCGGAGAGCGCAGCTCCAGACGTGCGACGATGACAAAACGCAGACGCGCAGGGCGAGTGCAGTGCGGCGGGCGTGGAGTGCACCAGACAATGGCCGGCTCAGATCCCGCCGCCGGCGAGCCGCTTGGCGCCGGCCGGCGCGACGTGGGCGGCGCCGCGCCAGGATTCCCGCGATCCGGGCGCCGAGCGGCGAGACCGTCCGTCAGGTTCATCGCCTTTGTCGCCTCTGTCGCTTGCGTCGGTTCCGTTGAGGGTACTTCTAGTGAATTCAAGTCGAAATTGTACCATATGGGTAAAAACAGATCTACATTTTTATTGATATTTCGCATATACACTTCACTAAGTGACTACGCTGAGATAATCGCGTTTTTCGTGGTTTTTTTTCCTTCGATTTCGTGATAGTTTCGGTGTTGTTCGTCTCGAGTTAGCGTTAAATATGCTAAGTATTTTCAAAGCAGTACTTGCGTGACTGGATGTCTTCAGATCTTCCTTAAGTGTCCAAATGTTTCGTGTAGTTGGCCAGACAGTAACCAGTATAACGTGCCAGATTTTTAATGACTTTGATGTCCACGGGTTAGGAAAGCGGCAATTCGCAAGAATTCTGCTGTGCCTTAATTCACACTTAACCCATTTCATATAGATTTTCTTTTACAACGCTTTCTTTTCCGGCATCAACACCCTTCATTATAAATTTTTCCCCTTAATAGCTTTTTTTTCTCTCAAAAATCTCATATGGTGGCGTCTCGGAATGCAATTAACTATGGAAGACAAATAACGTACATTTTAATATTTCTACCTATACGGTAAGTAGACAGATGACTGACTTTATTCACACAATGGCACTGAAGAGGTGCTCGTTCCTTGTTCCACTTTAAAGGGCTTCCTATTCTTTGTTATTCTGCCACCTTTTCTCATGGTTTCTGCTGGTAATCCATTCATGTCTTCTGTGAGAGATTTCTTCCACCACTTTGTAGTTATACGAGCTCTGTTGTTTTTATGTTTTACGGTTTTCCATTTTCAATGCTCGTTTTTATGCCGACACTTTGCTATTTCTTAATAGTCTAAGTAAAATACATTCCTATAATTTATCCTTAGAACTACTTTTCGAACTTCATCTAAATCTGAATATATACATCTGCTTGCATTTCTTTGGATCCACACGCAATTTTACACTTTTCAGTCCGAACAGATTCGACCGGCTCACAACAACACGTTATTTTCATGGGCCGTAAGAAGATTCAGATTACGCGTATACAAGATGAACGCAATCGACAGGTTTGTGAAAGTTGTCCGCTTCGGACGCGTTCATACTTCTTTTTTACGTTTTTCATTCGCTCTGATATGATTGTGCTCGTTTCACTCATATTTGACTGTTGTATTATAAAGGACCTTCTGATGACGTTTCAACTTGTCCCTAAGACGTTAATAATCTACAGTTTTTTCGCATCGGATTGTAAACTTTGGAAGTTATTTTCGTAAACTCCATGTTATATATATATATATATACGTATATATATATATACGTATGTATATGTACGTATTTGTACTGTATACTTGTATGTATATGTATGTATGTGCATATGTATACATGTATATACATACATACATGTATATGCATGTATGTATATATATGTATATATATATACATATATGTATATAATCTTTTGGGTAGTTCCTTTTACGATACTAATAAAACCCATGAAACGCCTCCTATGTTGTCCATTTAGTCTTGTAACCTCAGTAATTTGTTGCGTCATCTTGACAAGTACTTGGGCCATTTTCGCCAAAAGGTCATTCAAATTCAGAGGAAGCAAAACTGTTGGAATGACGTGTGAAAGCTTGGCCACCTGTCTGTGGTTACGCTGTTGTCAGAGAAATTGAAAGTGATTTCTTACTAAAAGCGTCCCTCAAGCGAGTGGAACCCAGTAGGCAGCTCTGATTTGTTAGAAGGTTGAATAGAAATAGAAGCTATTGTAACACTTAATCGGGTTAATTGGTGATTAATAGGATTGGAAATTATGAAAATATATTCTTGAAGTGAATTATACAAGTTTGTATTGTCTGCGTGGGGATCACTATGTATAAGCATTATTTTAAGTTACAAGTTTTGAGACAACGCAAACTCTCGGTGCGTAGCTCTGACGCTCAATTTTCGCTTGCGGTTATCTTTGTCTCTGTTTAAACCTTATTCAATGAAAACGAACCCCAACTGTCTTTCACCATCGTGCTGTTTCCGGATTCTTTCCCAAGACCCATATTTCAAGCACTTAAAGGCAGAAGAAATTTGACGAAATCAAAATCGACTACACAGTAATGTATTCAATTATCATTGTGATCCATTTTCACCTATGATGACGTAGTGTGTAAGGTGGGTTGCTGCTGAATTTTCAGTGTTTTTTGTGTTTCGTCTGTCAGCAAGTAAAGATGCCGGATAGAGCCAGTTGTTTGGTGACGCAAGAACAATCCTCGGCTCTGAAGCATGTTAAAGGTCTTGATCATCACACAGTAATCGCTGTATCTGTTTGTCTTTTTTATTTCTTTTATTACACTGTGCAGATTCTAGTGCTTCTGATATTCGATTCGTTTCCTCTCATCCACCATCCACGAAGGCCTTCGAGATCTTTCTGTTTGGCCTCGCATGTTGTTTTAGGATTTTTTCGTTTTCGTCGCAAATGACATTGAATACTGATCGAGTCGATTCTCCCTGGAACCCTGAGATAGCCGTGCTGGTGCTCTTCCTCGTGGATTGGAGAGGGTGAGATTGTTCCAGGCCAGCTCGGTACTAATTTCTCTACGCCGAAGTGATGAGAGGTTTGGTTGTTACTGTGTGGTGTCAAACTAATGCCTGGGTAGGTTACACGATCCACGTAATGAACAATATCAGAATCACTGCATTACCTGCTCCTGTTAGTTGTTTCAATAGAGAATATTTATTCTGGTATTGGATAGTTCAGTAAAGGATGGAATGTTTTCCTTGTCCTCGTCTACCCTGGACCTTTTCTTGTTTCCACAGGGTGGAAAAGGAGGCATGAGAAGGTTTTGGGAAAGAGGAAGAATGAATTGGATGAATTTATAGTCTGCCTCATATGCTGTTTTCCTAAGGTAGTGCTGCAGTAATATGCTTCTTAGTTACATGGACGTTATGGATAGTGGTAAATGAAACAGGAAAGCTTCTATATGAGATTGTGAATAGTTAGAGCTAAAGGAAATAGCTATCGGTGTAGACTAAAATGTAATGCGTCGAGTCGTGTTATTCAAAAACAATGGCTTCTCTCGACGTTAAACCAACATATCTGAACTCGTAGTTAACCTTATGATTTCAAGTAGCAATCTTGAAAGTAGCTTTCCATACAGGAAAGAAGTTTTCTTATTCTACCGTGGTGAAGTTCTGTTTTTGGAGCCCATGAGACGTGTTTTTTTCACAGTGTTGCATCGGAGCTCACATTCCGAACACGGAAGTGGCTGAGGAAACCGGATTCATCCGAGAGGGCACGGTGGTGTTTCCCAATGTGCCTTAGTTTTCAGCGGCTGCCGCAATTCCGCTGGAAATTTTATGGGCTCAAATTTCGTTGCTTTTTGATTTTTAGAACTCTAAACATTCTGGACATTGGAAGAATATTTTATGAGATTCTACTTGCCGTCAAGATTATAGAACAAAAGTATCTTCTTTAAGTCTGCAAAGTTTTTAACTCTTCTACTGGTCTGTTAGTGGAAAAGAAAGTAGTTTGTTGTCGAAGAAACCAGTTTCTTCACGAATGTGTTAAAGTTGTATGTTTGCTAATTAGCACCATCAGATGTGGACGAGGTCATAATTTTAGCAAAAATTCTCAAATTCTGTCAGTGCGAAGTGAAACCAACTAACGGATTATTGACCCTCATCCGATATCCTAGACATTCAACACTGCTTCGACAGTATTCGATCCTCTCGTTTCATACCGTAACTACACTTTCAATCCAAATACTAAACGGACGTTGATTATGTCCACTTCAGTGTTTAAGGTAGACGGTTAGTGATGATTTGTGCCCCACTCTTTCATTCGTTACCAGGTGAGAGATTCTGAAGCACCATGAAAGTTGAAGGCAAAACTGAGATTCTTGTAATAAGATTCCATACGGAAGTGTGGTCTTTGTAGTTCAATGACGTCATAGTTGTGTTCTAGTCCTTTTTTCATTCCTTAAACGTCTGGAATGACATCAATAACTTGGTACTGAAAGCATAAATAGTCGTTGAGTTTTCATGTATTTGCATATCCAGTTCTTTTTCTAAAGTCATTAAGTTGGTCGCATAGATTAATCACGATCATACTTCATTAAAATGAAGTTCGTTTCTCTTTTCGATCTATAACCTTTGAAGCTGAGTCGCTAAATCGCTAACTGGATATGGTTAATGAGCAACAGGATACTGAAGAGTGGTGGTCGATCCTGCTGCGATTGAGCAGCTGCAGTATCGAGACAGTGCAGTCCGTCTAGTCGAGAGTGCTGAACACCGTCGACGGGCGCGACGGACGTGTCCGTTGCGGCGGCAGATCGATGTGCTTCGCCTTCGCATGCCCTCGATTTACGTCATCGTTGGCGGCCGACAGCCGACGGCATATAGCGCATTTCATGCGACAATCAGCGACGGAAATACAAACAGGCGGGGTTTATATTTAGCCCGATTATGAACGAAAATAGCTGAATGACCGATGAAGAGGACTGAAATAGAAATAGAAATAGAAGTAGAAATAGAAAGTATGTGAAGATTGGCCGGAAATCAGCTTAGTATGTGGAGGGCAATAATCACATCAGTGATTTCGATCCTTTAGGAGCTTGTGACGCTTTTTTAAGCAAAAAGTCAGGAAACTGTAAAGACGAATTTCTTCATCCTATCTAACACATTGCTACACCTAATGGCTTTCTATGTTGTGAAAAGTTCACATCATTTCCGTTCAAACTCATCAATAAATTTACATCTAACGTTATTGTAAAGCGTAAAGGCGTTCGGTGTTGACGAATCTCCCAGGAATGTACCACTCTATCCTAACTCCCTTAAGCATCGTAGAAGTGATTGACTACATGTCTGAACTATGCAGTGACTTACGATGTATGACCGATCTATTAAGTTCGTTTTTTATATCCTTCCAGACAGGTCTGTACCAATTTACCGACCTGTAAAGGATGGAATGCTTGGTTTTCTTAGTGCACGGAATTGAACGAACTGCGTGTATAGTAT